TAACACCCACACCCACACCCACACCCACACCCACACCCACACCCACACCCACACCCACACCCACACCCACACCCACACCCCCACGCCCTCAAGTAAATCACCGCGTCACGACGAAACGTAGGTAATATACAGTACAAATTTGAGTTGGAATAGGTTTTCAATCCGATTCGATGCATGAAATGTTCTCTTCTGGCGAAAACGTCACAGCATTGGGTGTGTACAACAGGATATGAGTATGGGTGTACGAAAAGAATTGTGTATTGATCTTTTATCGTCCAATACCTACATGCACATCCACGCTTTTTATTCGATGATTTATATTAGAGCTAGACTATGTTCTATTTTTGGAAAAGCGAATATCATCAATTTTTATTGAAATAAATAAAGAATCATACAGAAAAGAGAGAAAAGAAACAAAAATTTAGATCTTCTTACTCAGAAAAAAATTAGAAAATGAATTGAAATAAATCGGAGAAGAAAAAAACGAGTACGTATGTGAACGAAAAACAAAATCGTAGACATTAATTATGAATGAAAGAATAAAAAAGGAAAAGCAAAATCAAGGAGCTGTTTGTGTATATAGATTAAGTAGTAACTCTCACTCATGCATTTTGCAACAATAAAGCAAGGAAACTTTAAAAGACACGAATGAATTTTCTAGAGATGTAAGCCATGAGTATGCAGAGAAGTGTTAAGTATAGAGTCAAAGAGATCAGAGGCGGAACATCATTATATAGAGTTATTCTTTAATATTCTTGAGGATTGATTTTTAGTTTCATATCTTTCGAAATAGTCAGCCAATGTTGTGTTACTGTAGTAGACCCTACATCTTCATCGTTTTGCAATACACTTACAATCTTGCTTCTGGGAAGCGTCGAAATATTCATCACCAAACAAGCGTACGGCAGTGAAATATGTTGCAACCGATAGAAGACAGCTCTTATATAACGGAACTGTAATTGAAAATCTCAGACAACTGAATAGCATACCTTGGAGAAAATTTATATCACATATAATTCTAAGGCTGTTGCATTTTGCATAGCACACATCGTGGTCATCACAATAAGGTGTAAATCCCCACACGACGCCTATAAATTGAATAAGAAAGTTGTAATCTCCACCCTCATCTCCACAACCGTTAGACGGAGAATTGCGAACTTGATGAGATCTTTTGCGATTCATTCCACAATAACAAATACCATCTTGACAAATTAATTCGTTCTGACATACAATTGTATAATACCAAGCAGTTCCAGTTTCACCAGCACAATCAGGAACCACTCTGACTCTTAATGAACTTTCATTGTCGTTCAAAGATATAGTAGTTGTTCCGTTTGCACCAACACATCCAGTTGAAAAGACTCGACGATTCATATAATAAACATCGATTTGATCTTTGATAGAGTAGGTTTCATAAGAAAACTCAACAGTTGTGTTTGATTTTCCAATATCGATTATTCTGTCATCAGGCGTGTCAGATCCAGATACTGTTTGTTCATTACATTGACCTCGTGTGATACCTATCTGAACGGAGAACGCATTGAGAGTGTTCGGATTTAAGCCATGGACGTTTCGGCTCGACTGCCGCCCTAATGTTACATTAATTTGATTGCTTGAATTCAAAGGTATCGTTACTGATCCTTCGCCAGGAAGCAAAGCCACTACTTCAAAATCACTGACTTGACCGAATGATCGAGATTGAAACTGAAACTGTGAAATGTATTTGGATGCTATACTAAGAACGTTGGAAATTTTAATAGCCATTTCTTGAAGAATAATTGAACAAAAGCGTTTGCCTGAATCAGGAACTTTTGAACATATATCAACAATTGGGTACGCTTGAATCAACTGTAAACATGCATCGCTCTGTTGAGTAATTGTTGTCAGTAGCTTATTTATATCGTAATACATATCGAATGCTGTCTCGTCAGCGGGTAATGGTACAAAATATTTTCCAGCGCCAAAACTCATCATGACAGGGGTTTTATTTCCATGACTTGTATCAAAATAATTTATCAGTAAAGTAGCATCATCAATCAATCGGCTTGTGATCTTATCGGTTAATTTCACGAGAACTCCAGTGAAGAAATCTGGTAGGACTTCCTCTTGTGGAAACTCAAACACAGGATTTGGAAATGAAATGTTGGGTGTGTCATAGGTACCTGGTATTTCATAGGAACTATTCTGTAGTACGAGCAAAACTACATACTGATTGGTATTGTCGTCATACTTGAAAACGAAAGTTCCCTGCATGGATTGTATTCGAACGATTCGACGGCGCTTTATCGTGTAAACAGCGTTATCTGTTTTAATAGCGTATACAGATTGAACATTTCCATTATAGTCCTTCACACCAAACATGGTAACATCGTCCAGTTTCATAATTTCGCTATCTTTGACATCGAGGGTGATTAAACTTGTGGACAAGTCAGGCATCTGTAAAAATTTAACATAAGATTTGTATTGAACTAGACGAAATATATAAACAGAATTTTCTAGCTATTACTATGCGGATTCAAAAAGTTCTAGATAGAGTGGAGCTAGTTACTTAGCACTCAACTAGAAATGAATTCACGCTCTTCATGTATGTCTCGAGTGCTTTTTCTCTCATGAAATAATGAGGCTTTTTAAGAAAAGGCTTTAAGTTACTTGTTTAAACTGGATTTCATTAATCAATCGTATCTACGTACCATCGCACAAAGATTAGTTGGGACTCTTGTTCCAGTGGTCATTAAGAATTCTTCGTTGGATAGTTGAAGAACTATCGAGGATAAATACGTGTAACATAAGGAAACAGGACAATAACTAATAACATCAATCTATAACTCACGATATTCACAGTAATAACCAGTAAAAGCTGGTTGACAAAAACACTGAGCAGTATTTTGAACAACACTACAACCTCCACTATTCTGGCATGGATTTGGAATACCTAAATCAAGAGAAAAAAATGACAGAAAACTAACGATTATATAATAATTAATCATAAGATTTGATGAGATACATACATGGATTATATGTTGTAACAGTTGCTGTTGGACATGGACAAATAACACAAGCACAAGTAGATTGAGGAGCTCGAGTTGATAAAACTATTTCACAATTACTGCCCGAATAAGGATATGCACATTGACATAAGTAAGCATTTGTTGTAGCAATACATGTACCACCATTGTAACTAAAAACAAAATAAACTAATTTTATTTTACTTTTTCTTATCATGTAAAATTTTATACTACCATGGATTAGGTTGACAATAATTACGTAATTCACAAAAACAACCATAATAACTTGGTGTACATGAACAAACAAATACTTTATAAAGAAATAAATAAAGAAATATGTTGAAAAAATAAATTATAATATTGCTAAAATTTGCCTTTAGAACTTGTTGGTGAACAAGTACCACCATTGAGACATGGTTGGGAAGTACATGGATTTGGTGCTGCTGTAGTTACAAGTAAAAATTCACAACAACGTCCTGTATATTGTGCTGGACATTGGCATTGAAAACTATTTCCATATGGTAGACATATACCACCATATAAACATGGATTTGGATCACATACACGTTGATCACATTGAACACCAAGAAAACCAATCAAACATACACATCGATATGTAAAAGGAGCAACTACTTGACATATTCCTCCATTTTTACATGGTCTATTATAACATGGATTGCTAGCAGATAAACTTGTTTCGCAAAGTACTCCACTATAACCTGTTGGACATACACAAGCAGAACCATTTTGAGTCAGATAACAACTACCACCATTTTGACTGTATTAAAAAGCAAAACAAGAATATATGTATATGAATATGTTAACAACAATTCAATGAATAGTTTCTTACCAAGGATTTGTTAGACATTGATTTAGTATTCCAAGAGCTGAAATACAAAAAGAAAATATATATATATACATCATAAGAATAACATTTTTAAAAAAACAAGTAAAAATTTAACATAATATATTATAATTGTAATTAACAATAATGAAGAAAATCAAGTAATTTAAATTGACTTTTTATTACCTGTATTTATTTGGCAATCAGTTCCAGTAAAACTGCCAGAACATTGACATTGATATCCAAATAATGTCGGTACACATACACCAGCATTCAAACAAGGATTAACTATGCTACAGAGTCCCGTAATTGTTGGACTAACAACAGATACTGATATATAGAAAAATAAACGAAAGAATAATATAAGTAATATTTCTATGTTATTCCTTATAATGAACTACCTGGCAATGCACATAAGAGACCTGTATAACCTGAAGGACAAGTGCAATTGAAACTATTACCAGGTAGAAGAATACAAGTTCCTCCATTTAGACAATAATTTGTTGTACATAGTTGGCCAGGTAAAATAGCAGTTCCTGTTGTTGTTGTTGTTGTGGTAGTGGTAGTGTCTAAATATTTTAGAAAAAAAATCTCTAAATCATGCTACATTCCAGTGATGGGATCGGTTCGTGTTTTTTGGAACCGAACCGAATCGAACCGAAAAGATCTCAAACCGAACCGAACCAAACCGATCGAATTTTTCAAAACTTTGAACCGAACCGAACCGAACCGAAAAAGTTTTAAACCGAACCGAACCGAACCGAACCGAATTCGAAACTTAAGATAAAGAAGGTTTAAAAGTTTTTATTTTTTTTTAAGAATATTCCTCTAAAAACCTTTATTGAAGACATGCTTAAAACGTCATTAATAATTTTAAAAACGAACTAGAAATTTGTAGTAGAAATAATGTTAAGAACATGGGTATTTTCGTTTTCAGAATAAAAGAAATTTCGGATTATAGAAGACTAGTTTATTTTCAGTAGTTAGTCAATTTATTCCGCTAATCAAAAGCCGTTCAAGGTATTTTCTGTCGTCGCTCAGTGCAGATATGTAGGATCTACATTTTATATGATACACCCGTTTTAGTA